GTGTGTGTATGTGTGTTTTATGAATACATGTAGGTTCTATGTTCATGCTGTGAAATATTTGGAAAAGTTTTATGATAAAGTTTTATACAAATTCTGTCAGTGTCAGTTTCCATAAAATCCACCTTCCTCTCCTCTCTTTCTCTTACACCCTCTCATGCTTCCTCTTCTTTTTTAAATTTCAAATAACTTTTATCTAAATCCATGACACACAACCAAAACAAATGTGTTATAAGATAGTTTTTCCTCACACCAACTGTGAATCCAATGGCGCAGACCACGTGTGTGACACAAAGCTTGGATCTCTTGACTTTTGTATAGTTTTGTACAGTGAATAGGTTTCTCAACACAATATATACCACATTATCATTATGTTTAAAGTGTGTGACCAGTGAAACGCAACCTGAGACCGTCCTGCAGGAACACGAGCAGTCGCCTGATCTGAAGCAGGAATGTAGCGCAGTAGAGGAGTGTGTGAAATCCTGATGTGTGTGTGGTGGCGGCTCACAACTTTCTTTGGTTGTGCTCAGTTCAAAAGGACAGATATTAGGTTATAGACTACCAGAGGGAGAGTGTGCAGTGGCTTGTATACAGAAGACATATGATTCTATTAAGCGTGTGTGAGTGTGTGTATGCTTATTGGTGTGTGTGTGTGATGAACACATCGTACGGCAGCGTAACTGTTAATTTGGTTTTCTTAAGTGAAACAGTCAAAAGTAGCTGCTATAATTACACACCTAGTTAGTGTGTAAGTGCAGGCCTTCACAGGACCCCCTGCCGAGGCGTCTAAACTATGCCTGTTATAGCAGAAGGTGCTCATTATAGCTTTGAGATTAGCCACAGTAAAACAAAATCTTTTTTTTGTAAACAACCGAAGGGATGGAGAACACCACACGCTGTCCAAATGACGTTATTTCCACATTAAAATGTCTTTGTTTTGTATTTATTTAACAAAATAAATGGCAATTACCACATGCTGCTGCCTGAATTGCACTTTTTGTTTGCTTCGTTGTAAGTCCTCCCACACCTCAGTAAGGGTTGGACTGTGATTGGTTGTGGGCTGTTCTAGTTTTCATTTGTGATGTGTATAAAGAAGCACAATAACTAAGAGATTACTGAAATATGTGTGTGAGTATGTGTGCTAGTCTCCTTTCTCTCTGTGAAAGCCAGCTTTTATACAATATAGTTCTGAGTGAGCACAACCAGGCCCTCATACCTGAACCATTTCTTTTGTTGTCATCAATACTACTGTATGGATCACCATGACACTTGGTGGAAGGATGTGCTATGGGTCAGCAGAGAACCAATTCAATTTGGGATCCGAGAGTATAATCATTGCATTTTCACCCTTGTCAAATCATGGATCTTAATGAAACATATGTTTAGGCAGCTGATATCTATGAGTATGTGTAATTTGGTGAAGATCAAAATAGAAATCTGGATCTGGTGAATTCCGATGTGGTTTCATGAGGGAGCTGCTCTAATGAGCGACACAGCCAGACATTGTTTGCGGATCTGTTTGCTAATGATAATAAATCAATCCTGTCTGTCACTCAACAAAGAGCAATAGCTGTATTTCACAGCAGATATTTTGACCTATTTCTTCATGTGTGTCTTATAACAACTGTTCAGTCATGGCAGTGTGCCAGTGAGCCAGTACAGTACCGGGGCCCTGAAACAGAAATAACCATCATTCATTATATCATTCAAACCTGTGCACTTCTCCTAATGTTAAAATACATGTTAAAATAGTTTTCCATCAAAAGGCCAATCCACAGTGTTTTACTGAAACCGATTTGTATTCCATGTAGAATCTTGAGTATTGGAGATGTCTCAATGTCACGGTGCCGTACTTTAAATACTGATAGTTGTAATTCAGGGATAGACAGAAGAAGCCATCCTGGATGGCCTCCACTGATTAAATCTCACAAAGAGAAAACAAAAATGACAGAGCTTGTTCTCATGTTGTGCAGCTGTGAGTAGCTCCAGCATTAGTGTCCATCAATAGCTCACTTTGATATAGTGACTTTTGTCACTTTGACAATGCAAACACACCAGACTTGCATATTACAAGGAACTCGTGGGAGAGCACTGCCCCTCAGTGGCCAGCCGGGCGATAGGAATGGAAAATATATCATTTCTATGTATTAATTGCTCTGACTCAATTTATTGTTGGAGCCCACATTTGCATTTATTTCAAAGATGGAAATATTTGTAAAAGTGAACTTTTTGAACAACTTTCAATATGACAAATTATCATGGATATATTCCTTGGAAGGAGAAAAAAAAGAGTTGTCGTAAGCAGCCGTGACCACAGGGTGACAGTGTTCACCACAGCTAACAGAGGATAGAGTCTGGAGAGAGAGAAGCTTTCAGAATTCAGATGAAATGTTTGTGAAATCAAATGGCACATTAGCAATGTAAAAATATGCTTAAACAGAAAAGAGCATTTAGAAATGTTTTTTCTTTTCCACTTGAGGCCTCAGCTGGCCCACATTAGGCATTAGTCATCAAGCTAATAAATGTAATGTAATGGCACAATTACTTTGAAATGCAGACACAGGCCATTCCTCTTTCTTTTCTCTCCCAATTACCCCAATGTCTCCCCCCACTCCCCCTCTTTGTGTTCCTTTGAGTTTGTGTTTGTCAGTCTTGTTAATGATGAGACACACACACACACACACACACACACACACA